GAAGTTGAGTGTATTGGTAAAGTTATATTTGGAAATAATAAACCAGTTTTATTAAGAAAGAACTTGTTTTGCTTAAGTTTCGTCGGAACGAAGTTACGGAAAGTTAATTAACAAACGGAGACGTAACAATATTAACCTGCGTATTAAATGTATAAAAAATTTGTATATCTTTTCTGAATGCGAAAAAATATGATATAAATAATTTATAAAATTAAGTACTAAAAACGTTTTTTTAATCTTAATCTAAAAATATTTTTGTTCTCAGTTTATATTTTTTTATGGTAAATGATACATTTTAGTTGCTCTGAATACTTCTTTGCAAAGGTAATATGGAACAGCTTTATAGAATTATAAAATAACTCTCTTTTAATTCAAGACATGTTTCTATATAGAAATTGAGTAAATCAAATGTAATTGGCTTATTAGAGACAAATAAAAAAATCAGGGATAAATGATATAACATTAAGAAACATATAAAATTATTATAAAAATATAATAGACTGAGCAAATTTTATTGAAAAAATGGTGCTCCTCAAGGATAAATCAGTTATAGTTTCCAGTATTTCATTAAGAAATTATAGTCTGGAATCACAATCAAACATATAAAATTCAGAAGTAAAAAAGTGGATAAATTTAGATCCATAACTCTTAACTATTATTCTCATTGCCTCAATTAACTAATCTTGTCTTAAGGTCTCAAAACTGGATTTCTGAAAAATTAGGAACTAAAATTTCATTTCTTTTCATCTTCACTTGTAAAAAAACACTAAAACTAATTATGCAATAAACACTCTTCTCCAAAACGTTCTCTCACTTCATTTCTTGAAATCATACGCTCATTATAGTGTTTAGCAGTAGTTGACTCTGCAATCTCAACCAATGCTTCTAAAACTTAAGTCTCCCATGATTATTGCATCATTTTTCTTATTAATACCCCTCGATATAGTTTCTCAGTGACTTCATCTCCTATTTGTAACCCATATGCACTCAACCTCTTCACAACTATTTCTTATGTGATCAATCTTAATAATCCCTTGTATAAAGAGTTGCTCCACACCTAGATAATCCTTATTATCAATATTTCTCTAAATAAAACCAAGTTTTAGAAACTTCCATCACATCATAGTCTTCAGTTTCAACTAGAACCTTGAACTTATCTATTTTGTTAATAATATTCCTAACATTAGAATGATAAGCTTATTATTGAATCTACTATATTTATATTTAAATCTCACAGAATTACCTTTGAAACTATTACTTGTTATACTTTATATCTCTTATTTCCAAAACTTCATTGTCCTAGCTATCCTATTAAAAAAAGAAATTTAAACAAACTAAAGGCAAAGTAAAAAAAAAAAATTGCCATACCTTTGGGAGAAATCTAGTCTCTTTCCTATTGGTGAAGAAAACCAGCCTTTTAAAAAATGTAGGATCATATTTTTCCTTATTTTTCAGTTTTATATATTATTTAATAATATCCCAAAATGTTTTTGGTCACCTTATGCTCAATGTTTCTACTATTTATCCAGAAAAACACCAGCTTTGTTTAAATTTTTGTGAATTCTCTCTACTTGCATGTAAGTTTTCAACTTTTTTAATTGTGGTTCTTTATTCTGTGTTCATTAATTCACCAAAACTTACTCAGAAAAAATCTTTAGAAATCTAGAAAATTAACATAATAAAATATTTTTTTTTCAGCTAAAGCAGATAAATATGCTGGTGGAAATCCTTACTGTCCCCGTCCCACTCCATCATGGCAAAAAGAAATTAGTGCCTTCTTCATACCTAAGGCTCATGAAACTGACCCAGACAAAGATGATGGGCAGGGATTTTCAAGTGCTTCCATAGAGTTTGTACTCTATTTTATATTTTATTTGATATGGTTTACTATTACTGTTAAGAAAGAAATTGTAAATTTTAGTGCTCAGTTATATCTAGATTTTATATATTACTATTGATATCTTAATTATCGAAATCTAAAAAGTATTGACACCAAAACTGTGCAGACAATACTTGTTTCTGTTTTTTTTCTCATACATCAATCTCTTCCATTTTTAGCAAAGCATGTTTTTAAGTATACTAGCTTCCTTACCTTCACAATGTTCAAAAAAATTTTTAAATAGAAATTTGGTTTGATGCCTTCTTAGCTCCAAGATAAAAGGAGTGTTGGTTAGAGTGCATTCTCTTTGTCTTCAACTTTCATTCTGCTGAAATGTTCATTATTGTTACTGCACCCTGATCTAGAAAGTACGAATGGAGCATAGTCAGGGTGGTTGGGATTCTTATTTTCCAGCCCTTGGAAGTAGGAAAAACAAACACGAAATGAACACACAACTGAATCTAAACTAGACTAGTGCTTTAAGATCATAGTCAGTTGCAGTTTAATAACACAGGCCTGCAAATTTAAACTTCATAAAAGTTTTGGTTTTAATAATGGATTTTCTATAATACAGCTACGCAGATTTCGAAAATAATATTACTTTTTTTCCATCATGTAAGGATTTTTTACAAATTGGAAAGAAAAAAAAATCTTACTTAGATCAAATTATTATTTCATTTACCACAATGGACATTTTTTATTATTATGTTTGTCAACAAAAATACAAACAAACTGAAGAAAAGGGAAGAACATTGATGTCAAATGAATATGCATCTTCATTCATCATGATTTTTTTTTGTGAAATCTATGTCTTTTAGTTTCAAGACTACATGTTATGGTCTTTCTTTTATGTATTGCTTTATGACGTTTTTAGAAAAATCTGTACGTGATGGGAAAAAATGGATATCATTTTTGGATTCAGCATACAAGAATTACTATAGAACATGTAAAAATTTCAAGACAAACCATTGCAGGCTTGTGTAATTAGTTGTTGAGGTTGTAATTTGTTTCCTTATCGGTGCTGATGCCTGGTAAATGTTGCAATGATTGTACTATATACTTGACATTACCACCTCATGCACATTACTTCTTTGCAGTTAACTCTTATTTGTAAATCGTTTAAGTATTATAGTTTTCTCCACCAAATTATCTTTCAAGTGACATAAAGATTATAACTCATGAAATTGTGTGTAGATTGACACCATAAAAATATTACATAGTGAGACAATCGTGCTACATCTAGGTGAATGTCAAATAATAAATGTTAAAACTTAGACTATAACTTCATGTTATTTTTTAAACTAAGTTAAAACTAATACGATAATCTTTTCACTTATAGTTGATTTACCTTTAACTTGTAAAACTGGAGGATTGACATAAATGCAGTCATTTTTAGGGATCCATGTCTGATTTTTAATTGTGCCACTGCTTGAATTCATTGCTTTCATCTTGTTATTTTGGTGGCCTTGGAATCATAAAAAATGAGGAGTCACAGGAGTCTGATAGAATTCCGAAACGTTTATCCATGTCCCCTTTTTGTCAATAAACAATGTTGTATACCATAAGTGTCGTAATTTTGTTTATTATGTTGAAGTATATTTTGTTTGAATATACCTACAGGTTAAGATTTTTTTTTCAGGACACGCATTAAAACTGAACCTCTCCCATCTGATGACGAAAACTGACCTTGTGGATTTTCTTTCTGTAAATAATTTTATAATAAATGTTTTTAAACTATACAGTCTTTGTAATTAGATTATATTGGCCATGTACATTTTGATTCATAAAGTTTAATGTAATAAATTCATAGCATCACATTTCTCTATAGTAATTATTTAAAAAGGCACTGTCATTCAAGCAATGGTTTAATATTACCCAATTGTATTAAGACTGAATTCATTATCTATTATATATATACTAACTGGAGTACCCATCCCCTGCACAGAAGTTATGTAAATTCATGATTATGAAAGGTTATCTTAGGACATGAAAAATTGCTTAAATTATATGTAATTGTAAAAAAAATGCAAAAATACCCATAAAAACTGCAAAACACAAAATGTGAAACTGCAAATTTGCATACATCTCTGCACAGACCCAACAAACCTTATGCCGAATTTGGTGAACAATCATCAACGTGGGACAAAGTAGCAGTAAAAAACACCCATAAAAACTGCTAAATGCAAAACTGAAAATTTGTATTTCCCCATGGACCCAATGAACCTCCATACCAAATTTAGTGAAGATCCATCTACAGGGGGTGAAGTAGTGGTAAAAAAATGACCATACAAATTGCAAATCTGAAAATTTGTATGTAGCCCCGAATGGGCCTAATGAACCTCCATACCAATTTTGGTTAAGATCTATACACACCCTGCAAAGTAGTTAGGTGGACATACTACAGACAGTACTATTATATATATATATATATATATACATAAATTAGTTGAATATCATAATGTTTTGAGTGAGCAATTTAAGATGCGTTTTAGTGTTTGAATAACTGTTTCAGCAACAAAAGTGACAAAGAAGCAGCTTTAAAACTGTAAGTAAACAAATGAAAGAATTAAGCTAAGATTTCAAGGTGTACTTTTATTGATATTTTTTGGATATTGGTTATCGATAAGGATTTAAAAATCAGTTACATTAGTACTGACAAACCATGTTCTCTAACTTTAAGCCTAATACATTAAAATATTTCACTCCGACACTTTGCTTTTCTTAACTTTTATTTTCAATGTTATCAGGGTTTTTACTCGTTCCCTCCAATTTTCAAGCAGATTTCTTTAACTCCCTGAAAACAAATCCTACTCTTTATTCAATACATATATTCTCTTGCCATGTCACATTTGTTACTCTTCAAAGCTGTTGCAAATAATTCCCATTGTTTTATGTAGGAATTGGAACCACATCTCACCATTAAAATGTTACAATATTCTGACAGTCGAGGTATAGGTCTGACGAAGAGTAGTTGCTGGAAATGTTACAGAGTAAACTTTTGTTTTCGATGACTTATCTAACCTCATCTTTTTTTTATAATTCAGTTTACAGACACAGTATTCTTTTTTTTTTTTTTAGTTAGGCCTGACTGAAGTGAACTTAAGTTTGACTTGTTTTGTGAGTTACTACTTGATATTCTTGCTCTAAGATTAACACCGAAATAATCACTTGGTGCTGTTGGTACTTGCTTTTCTAGCATCAGAGCCTTATATTTTTTGCTCTTCATATGGTAGATGAAGGGCTGATTCACCCATGCTGCTCAATTCAATCATTTTTATGCACATTGCACACTTTGTCATGGGCTTATTTCCATTATCACTGTCAAGCCAACACTCATTAACACTTTTCCGTTGCTTTATCTAATCAAGCATGCACCAATAAATGAATAAATACCATGCTTTGTGTAAACTGCACTTCGAACTATAAAAAATTGGCAAGACATTCATTTGATACGAGCAAATCAGGACTGACTAATAATCGCATCTTGTGATACTCGAGAAAGATCACGAAAACTCAGCAAGATATTTACGTGATAGGAGCAAATCAGGACTGAGTATTAACCACATAACATGATCACTGATAACCAAAGAAGGTCAAAGTTTATTTTGCACATGTGCTTCTGTTTATTGTTTACATACAGTGCCGACAAAAAAAAGTTGATTTTAGTAGTTTTTAAACAATTTCTTGCAACTGAATTGATATTAAATTCATTGATTAGTTTTATGATGTCTACTAAATGAATAATTCAAGACGATAGTTTTCAAGCACTTGGACTTTAGAAGAAATACCAAAGTCTTGAATAATTTGTATTTTTATAACATCCAAGTTTTTCAAGGCCCTGTGAGAACCCTTATTTATACATAACCACCAATAATTTTGAACTTGTAGATTAGTCAACAGCATCTCTTCTCTAACTGAATAACCATCAGTCTTATAGTGCACTCCCAACCCCAAAGTGTGAACTGTTTTAACAACAAGACATGAATGAACCTTCACTTTCACAGATTGAGCATAACTGCAAGGTCACACTTGGCTGATGACATTTTATAAATGAGGGGAAACAAATTAAGTAGTCAACAGTATCTATTGGGTAACTCTTGTCTAACTGAATAACCATCAGTCTTATAGTGCACTTCCAACCCCAAAGTGTGAACTGTTTTAACAACAAGACATGAATGAACCTTCACTTTCACAGATTGAGCATAACTGCAAGGTCACACTTGGCTGATGACATTTTATAAATGAGGGGAAACAAATTAAGCACTGAAAAGTAGAATGAACATATTTGCTTTAAAATTAGTTATTTCGTACAAGGAAACTGAAAAAAAAGTAATAGAAAGTGAATGGCAAATATCCCCACTATTTAAGTCTTTGATAGGCCTAACACTTTATAAGAAAAATTGTTATACAATCATTAAATGTGCGTGACTGTTGAAAAAAGACCATTAGTTTTATTGATGTCTTTCGTTGATCTGTAAAAGTTGCACCGCTAAAGATATCACAGAATTAATCCAAGTAATATCTTCAGCAGCACAAACATAATAATAAAAAAAAACTAACATGAGGTACAATATTACAAATCAAACATTATTAGTTTTATGTATCTTATTTGGCATGCATCTTTGGATTCGATAGCTAATTATGAGGAATTGGTGCAATTTCACAAAGTAACCAAAACAATTGAAATTGCACAGACAATACCAGTTTGAAAATTGAACATAAATTTTTGTAACTTAACTGTCTAGTTTGGGTTTGAACTATATAAGAAAAAAAATCATCCTGCAGAGATGAAATTTAATAGACAAACTAAACTACTTGCTAAAAAGTGCCATCTCTCTTCACTTTTGGTTCCTAATATAAGTCTTGATAAAAATGAGTATATTCAAGACTGTCATGGATATAAGCAAAATGTCGTAGCCATAGTTAAGGGTACTGTATTAAAGGCTGTGCAATTTAAGCATTTTATTCACAATCTTACTAGAGCAAAATGAGAAAAATCAAGTTATAAAATATTAATTCCACGTTAAAGTAGTTAAAATATGAGTATTATTAACATCTTTATTAGGACTGGCTTAATTAGTCTAAAAAGATAAAGCTACTGTTTTTGTTTTTTTAAATGTAATAAAACAATCTTTGCTGTATCTCCAAACTAACAATGAGGCTAAACATATGCAAATTTTGCAAGATTAACAAACATGAGTGAAAATGTGAATACAATGAAAAAAAGTCTAGAGTCAAATGAATAATATCAACTAAAAATCATGAACGTTAAAAGTTTACAAACAAATTATACAATAGATGAAAACAAAACAGATGCTTTATTAACTAAATACAAGAGGTTTACAAGAAAATTTGATAAAAAAATGGGTGGTGGTGTAAAAGTTATTGATCATGCCTGGAAAATGCAGCTATAAGAAAGTAAAAATGAATCGTTATTTTGTGGAATTTCATGCAAGGCTACTTTAACTGAATAGTGGGATTTGGCTGTCCCCAAATTGTAGAAATGAAAATTGTTTTTGTTAGTAACAGGACACAAACTTTGAATCCACAGTTTGAAATGCTAACCACTGGATTGTGCCCAGCCCAAAAACGAGTTACATGTTTGAGAGCACTTCTAAAAACAAACGTTTTAAAATGATGGTTAGTCTGGTCACAGAAATAAGCACGTATTACAAGTGTAACTTGATGGACACATGCTGTATGTTCAAACAGTGTTTAATATACAGCTTAAATATCTGACTGGATTTCACAGAATGAGGATGATGAAGTATTATTATACCACTTTCAAATTTGATGTGTGAAAATCAGGACGAAATAAAATTTACTTTTAAAACCAAGAAAATGTTAATTTAATAGTGAATGACAGTTAAACTAAACTTTGGTTCTTGTAACATAAACATAGTATTCCATTACTCTGTGTACAGTGTACTTTTACTGCCATGCAAGTTGACCTTGAAAAATTTACAACTCTTTTATAATAATAAAAAATGACCAAATCCATACTTTATGAAACTGTTTTATCATTTTCTTTTTACAGAATTAAAAAAAATGCAGGAACTGGGATATACTAACATTAAAATACTTTCATTTGCACAAAAATGATCACTTTATCAGACTTTATATACATTATTTAACACAAAAGGAAATCAACATAATGATTAAATGTGATGGAAACAGGACTACTGGTGTTTTAAATAAATATCTTAATAATAAAAACAAAATATTAATATTGCAGAAATAGCAGCATTTATTTATAACTTCAGATTAAGAAAAAGTACCAATGCTAGAATCTTCAATCTATATTTATTATATAGTCACAATCATTTTTTAATGGAAAAACAAGCTTAGCAGAAAAACAGCTACAATTTTTTTATTAATTAAGAATTGAAAGAACTAATATAGATATTGCATATCAGTCAAAGTACCAAACTGTATTGCAAAAGTAACATACATATTGTTTTGCAGGGATATAACTTAAGAGTAACGATTTTATTCAATGCACAACACGTATGCACAGAAATATTAGTGAACGGTTAAAAAAGATGAAAATATATGCAATAGTATTTTACTGAATACGAAATTGGAGGAAGATAAATTAATGTCAGTCTTATTGGCTTTTTTACTTGTTTCCACTATTTTCTCCACTGGTTTCCTTCTTTTCTTGAGCTTTCTTCTGTTTTAAACGCATCACTTCTGCATCCCTGTTACATACAAAAATGTTTTTTTTTTTTTATATGAGGTAACTATGGCCCATTAGAATAGTTATCTATTATTTTACATCTAATTAACTTTGTGACTTAACCAAGCCAAAATCTCTAACATGTGGTAATTAATTACATAGAAACTAGATCTGAAGTACTAATTTTTTACTTTTGTTTGTTGCATCATTTATACTTGGATCTAAAGAGTCCAGAACCAATACAAAAACAAACATTTTTATACAGCTTCCAACTTGATTGTCGAAGATGGCCCATTCTGACAAAAGTCAACTGCTAGTTTTTGTATAAACTTGGCCACAACCCTAAATATTACAGAACAAACAATAACCAGAAGTACACGAATAAGAACAATACTGGAGAAGGTACAAAATGTTGTAGCTAAGGAAATAATGCATGAGGTTCAAGATCAATGACAAGAGCAGCAGAAGGAACTTTGTTTTTTCTCTTCTAGTTTCTTGTCTTTGCTTTCTTTTGTGGATATCTCATTGTGGTCACTTCTAGATTAGAAACAGTTTTTTTTTTTCATTTTGCAGTATAGGAGACAAATGATGTAAGGCAATAAAAGAGAGTATATATATACACACACACACATATCCTTTGCCAAAATAAAAATCTTCCTGGTTCAATTCAAGTTTCTTATGGAAAGAAAACCTTAACTCTAGTGCAAGGCTCCCTGCTGGACCAATGCCTAGCTATGCTGACTCCTGTCTACCTTTTCACACATGTGAGAATCTCCCACCATAGTCTGGTTACTTCAGCAAAGTCCTGTTTCCAATAGGGGAATAACAGTAACTGTTAGTAATGCAACTTAATCAATGACTTTAAAGATACTGGGCACACCTTCTCATACCTTTTAACGAGCTGCCAGAATTCTTAACCAACCCCACAAAGTATCAGGTACTGTTAGTAAAGCCATCACTCTGGCCAGCTAGTGTTGACTTGATTCTAGCTAATGGAAATGGGTTAAAGGTACATAAAGATACACAACTTCATCAGTAATACTGTTTTTCCCAAAATGAAGATTTTTGTTTCTACTCTTGTTTCAAGTATTGCCATCTTGGAGATGGACATATGATGGAAGATATCCATCAGTGTGGCTTTGGTAACAGGTGAACTGCAGTTCTACTAAAAGCATTCAATGTCAAACAAGCAGAACCTAGAATGCATCTACAGAAGGAAGTGATGAATCCTTGTAATACATAAGTGTCATTGCATAGATATTTGTGAACTCGTTCTCATGCATTGCCACTGGCTACCATGCATAAAACACAGTGATGTCACTCAATTATAATCAAGTTAAATTAAGCTTCTTACAGAGGCAGGAACAGTGTCCAGTATCTTCCTTTCAGAAGTACCTAGGTTATAGGTTTCTTTGTGTTTTAACAACTTGTGTGATTGAAAAGGCTTTCCAAATATCAGGAGACATATTCCTACCAGTCAATATAGAAAAAAAACACTACCTTATAGGCTAAACTGTCATAATTACCTATGTTTACGTTCTTCAAGAGTAAGTCCTTTATTCCCATCTTTTTTATCAGCACCTTTCTTTTTGCACTGCTCCTGTTGTTTCTTCATGGCCTTCTGTCGGGCCAATTCACGCTGGTTTCCACCTAAATATGCATACAAATTGAAAAATCTTTATCAAATTATATTTTGAATTATTTTATTGATCCATGACTGAAAGTTTAACAAGTATCACAATTTCTAGCACTTATGACATAGAATGAAACATTCTGGGTTCACGTGGATTTCCTTAAATTTCAACATCAATTAAGCCTATTTTTTTACTATAACATTCAACAGTGACAAAACAATACGAAAAAAACACTTAATGTAATTTAGTAACTTTTTGCCCTTCTTCTTCAAAAAGCATGTATGAAATTACTTTCTTTACACACACTCAATGATGTTGAGTTTGTGGTGAATGTTTGTTTTAAATAAAATAGATTCAAAAAGAATGTATCCAATGACAAAGTAGGATATTTCATGTAATATTCTTTAATAAAGGTACATTTTAAATGCTGGTTTTTACTAATATGTTCTATAATATTTTGCATTATGAATAAGGAACAAAAATTATATATTCCAGTTATTGATTTTAAGGGTGTTTCACAGCCAATTTTGATGAAATATAAAAGATAAAGATTCTTGTACTGTGAAATTTTACTAACTTGACTGTAAACAAATTGTTGATACAGATTTTAAAATTTAGGAAAAGCTGGTCGATTAGCGGTATTTAATTGATTAATTGGCAGCCCCATTAATTGATTAGTACAGGGTTCCTCAAACCATGATGCATACAGTGCAAAAAATAAATGTTAAAAGCGTGAAGCAACAGGTACGCTGGTTGGACCTACAGTATAGTTTCAGAGAAAGGGTGGATTATGTGCTAGAGCTAGGCTATACTTATGCAGATTAGATAGTAGAATGTTGGAGGAAGCTTTAAGTATATTTATAAAAACAGTTTAAACTGAACTTGCACAGCTGTGAAGGAGATTTTGATATTGGGAATAAAGAAATTGATAGGATAGCTAGTGCAACAAGAAGTTACAAAATACAAATTGAGCATACGTTAAATAATAGTTTCAAAGTAAGTCTATTATACTTAAAGATAAACATAGTAGATTGAAGAATATGCTTAGTTGCTGTTATTCCATTGTTAAGAGTATTATTAACAAAATGGATGAGTTCAAGGTTCTAGTTATAATGAAAACTAAGATATAATGGGAATTACTGAAACTTGGTTAGATTTGGAGAACGTTGATAACAGTGATTATTTTTAAGTTCTTGGTTATAAATTACGTAATAGCAATATCCTTTTTAAGAGAGGGGCTCTCTATATAAGAAATGTTAGGATTGAAGATAAAAATGGTTGTCAGGAAGTTGAATCTGTATGGAATACAATCAAGGATTGCAAGTTTTTACTTGAAGATTGATATAGGTCATCTGATTAGACAAAAAGAGGTCAGTGAGAAACTGTTTAATGAAATCAGGGTCATTACTAAAAACAAGTGTTGCAATACCTGGGGGAGATTAATTTTAGACAGTGATAAAAATTTTATGGTCTTCTATACAAATGGTCAGAGAGCCAATCCAGGGGTGGGGATACCATTTTAAGTTTATTGTTAATCACTTATAATTATATGATTGTGAGTTGAAGTTGGGAAACACTTGGAGAAGAGTGATCACTGCATAATTAAATTTCAGTTCCTGATTTTTATGAAGCCATCTTTGAGGCCTTAGACATAATTCACCATTAAGAGACATTAGAGACTGAAGACCGGAGAAAGCTAAGTTCTCTAAATGTTGTTTTTAATTGTGACTCAATTAACATTATTCCTATTTTCTTATGAATATTTTAATTAATTTCTAGTTATCTTATGAAAACAACAACAGTTAACTTGGATCAATTTACTTAGACTGTGCAATTATATATTAAATAACAAGGCTGACAATTGCTTGCCCTGTTACTATGGTGATTAGCTGATGTGTTACATAGTAAATGAGTAGTTAGCATATTCATAATTATTAAGATACTTATGTATGAGTAAAAATACTTCAAATGGAACAATGCTGTCATTATTATTCTACATTACAAAAGTTTTAGGCCTAATTAGTGTGGAGCAAGTACCTCACTTCAGTGTCTTTATTTAAAAAATAAATTAAATTATATGGATTACATTAAATTAAATGTGAAGAAATACCTATCTTCAATGTTAAAAACAAACATTTTATTGTATTAGATGAATCTACTCAGTTTGTGCAACTATATAAATTATTAATACTAAACTAGGCTCATGTTTATTCTTTTTTTATTATTGTTATTATTAAAGGTTCCATCCCTCTTCCTTATTTATTTTGGTTGGTATAAAATGAAAAGGAGAATGGGGGAAGAAATAATGAAGAAAAACAAAATGCATAATAATTTATTAATAAAGTAATTAAATAACTATAAAACAAAGAAACAGTGGGCAGCACGTAAGATTTTACATCTAGGAAAGGTGACTAATACGATAACTCCCACAGGTATGAGTTGTACTCCTGGCTTATGCAGAGAAAAACAGTGACCATGTTGATACACTTATAACTCAAATTTAACAGCCCAGTACAGTAGAGGCAGACACACTGATGGAAATGTGAATGGAAGATCGTTGGAGAAGTCGCTGCAAACATCAACTTTAATCTAGTCAATAACATGAATAGCAGAAAGAGAGAAAGGGAGACTGTGGCTTAGCACCTTAGCCATAGACCTCGCCCATGTTGCACTCCTCGAGTTGAAGTGGAAGCTGTTGCCTTTAAATGGCAATGTCCAAAAGCCCATACTCATGAAAATAGCCGAGAGAGGGAGATCTCAAAAACCTACTCAGACTATATAGAATAGAATCCACAACCAGTGAGAATCAGAAAAGTAAATGTGATAATCACAATAAACCCAAATTGATGACAGCAGAAGTGGAGTAAGTTTGGAAAGATCAGACTGAGGCCCATAAAGTATACACTTAGGCCAAAAGGCATAATAAAGGAAAAAATGAGATCAACAGATGACAACAGAATTCAATAAAGCTACCTCAGGGTTCCAACAAAAAGCAGAGAGAAAAACAGGAAAACAATATGGAAACTGGCAAAAATTTTGAAAAGGGTATCAAGTGGTCCATAGTTGGTGAACGTCTCAGAACTGATGTAAAAAAATGTAATGCCAGCTATAAGAAAATGGACAAATCTCTGGGCATGGTAGGAAGTTAATGACAAAATTCAACAGGGGGACTGACTTGTGGCCAGAAATACCAGTGACACTGGATGAATTGCAGGGAATTCTTAAAACAACAAAGTGAGATTCTGTATCACACTCAGATGGAATGATATAATCCAAAATCATCTTTGTTCATAACAGAAAACAGAGCTAGCTGAAATAATCAATTTGACAATGATGGAGTGGAAAAAGAGAGAGAAAAATGTCAGAGACTGATGAATGGTATTATTGTCCAAACCTTTCAAAGACCATCTCATACTGAAGGAATATAGAGCAATAGCAATGCCAAATGTTTGGGTATAGCTCATGGAAAAGTTAGCAAAGCAAAAGATTTATGCAAGATCTGGGAGAAGAGAAACTGTCCATCAAAATGGGAGGGGGTAAGACCAAAGAAATTCACAAACTTTAATGTTGAGGCAGTCACACAGCATATCCAGCAGTAGAGCTGGAGTTATGAAAGTTTTATTTTTCTAACAGGATGATTAACTTATGGTATTAATTGCTATTGGCAGTAGCAAGAGCCAGCACTTTACAGAGTTTAAGAGGGGAATTGATGATTTCTTTAAAATTAAAGCGTGGTTTAAATTTTAATTTTTTCCAAGGGTGTATGTGCAAGAATAGGCTTGAAGGATTAAATGTTCCATTGTTGTCTGTATGTTATGACAAAAACTGTATACAGTATTCCAAGACGGGCATAACTACCACTTATAACACCAGAAAAACTAAAGGAAAAAAAAAAAAAGATTACATTCTAAAATGTTTGTTTTACTTATCACTTCTTAGATTACTTTTAGGCTTGAATAATTCCAAGCTTTATTAATTAAGTATATTCTAACATTATTATGAGCTACACATATACTTTGTATTGTATTGTATCATTTTTTTTTGTTTTACTGAGGCATTTCACAGTTAAGACAAATGCTTGAAATGTATGATACAACAATTTTATTAACTGAAAATGAAGTCATTTATGTGTATACGATTATATTAATTAAATGCCGGATGTTTGAATGGAGTATAATGTGAAACTTATAAGAATTGTAACAGAGGAACTAAATAATTGATAAAGTTTAAGATACTTAAATAAAAAAAAACAATAGCAATATGTTTTTTATTTAAAAATGTAATAAATATTAAAATATTTTAATTATACACAGAATTTATTTATACTGTGAGAGAGCGTGCCACACATTCCCACAAAGGAAGCAGAGCTGACAAACAATAAATTTAACTGATTTGTTAGAATATACATAAGTAAATTATGACGTAATTGTTAGATTACATACATCCTCGAACAATCTCTCAAATAGCCCAATGAGAACAGTTAAGACTAAAAGGTAGTTAATGTCTGAAAGACAACTACAATGTGAAATATCAAATTTTGTGCAAAGTTTTTATTAGTAGTGGTAATAAAAAAATAAATACTGGTTAGAATAGGAGTATCAATGTAGGCAGAATAACCAGTTCTTTAACAACTGGTGCTCATATTAAATTGAATAATAATTTTAATACACCTAAAAAATATTTATATATGTATATTCACTACAAAATACATTTAGGGTTTACAAGTTTTCAAATGCAATAAGCATGCGTCAAATTTAATTTTAAAAAATTATTTCAAAACATTTACTGTGGTGTTCATCAAATATAGATCTGATAATGGTGTTCTTGAGTTAACTAAAATGGGTACTTTTGAAATACAATATTCTGAACTTCAATTTCTCATTTAAATCACAGGAACAGAGAGACTGGCAGAAGCTCCTCTGTTACTGTTAGTAAGTTCACCAACAAAAAATAGTTGTTTTTTTTTAATTATAAATATTATGTAACTTATACCAAACATTTCTGCATTTCACGTAAAGAGTTTCTAAACCTCAAGTTCTGGGCTAATTATTACAGAAGTTTTGTGTTACACCACGTATAATATTTAATGTAATGAAGAATATTTCAAACAGTGGTCCTGTAATTCAGTACCTATAAATTATTTTGTATTGCATAATAAATTCTATTAAAAAATACCTATATCCCAATTCACTTCTGTTGAAAAATTGGAGTGCCTAGCTACTATAATTTAACGTGAAAAATGACAAGTTTACCGTTTGTTTACTAACAACTGTCAGGGGCCACTATAAATAGCGCTACTAAGTACTACTGTTAGTACTAGCAGTAATAGAGCTGATAACATAACACTTATCAGCCCAACTACTATTACTATTAGTACTAACAGAGTTTACACTATAAAGTATAATATTAATAATAATAGTCTGTAACTTGTGTTATCAAACGTCTTTTAAACTCATTTTGGGTTTCGTCAAGTTTTAACTTTAGTATGCACAGTGCAACAAGTACAAAACTACTTATAAGTTATAACTAATATTATAAGCTTAAAGTTACACTTACAGTGACGTAAACCTAGTTCCAAAGTAAGAAGATCACTGTTAGGCTTAACAGTTGTAATTCGTTATTGAGTTTAAAAGTAACTTTTGTTAGCAAAATATAAAAATATTGAGATACCCACGTGCCATTGCGATGCTGGAGCTCAATGATTAATTCTATCAGAGAGAGACCAACAAATGACAGGCGCTGACCAGGTTACACTTTCGTCAACAAGCCACTCTTTTAACCCTGTGTTACCACTTTAACACTTTTTGAAACCTTAGCGCTGTGTAGAGACTAAGCTTCTTCCTAAGAACGTTCAAGAAAACCAAATTTAATCAACTGATAATCCTGAAGTAAATGTTAAAGCTACTATATATAAATTTTAAAAATGATTTCTTTTTTAACACCATTAAAACCCATCTCTTTAATTTTTTCATCAAATATGAAGACATTTATTAGAAAAGTGATGAAAATTGCAATGTAGAACGCACTAAAAAGCTAATTAAATCGTGAATACTACAATCAGCTATTTTAGCCTAATTGCAAATATGCAAAAAACCTAGTTTTATTTACATTACATGAAACATATTTTCAGTAACAATGTTTTTCGTTTGTTTTTAAGCACAAAGCTATACATTAAGCTATCCATGCTCTTCTCACCGCCGTTGTCAAAATTCGATTTTTAACATTATAAGCTTTCAGACTTACTGGGGTGAGGCAATATTAAAAAGATTGAAAAGAAAGTTCAATTGTAAATAATATTCATTCATTTTTAGCACTAACTGTAATCGTGATTTGATAATTTATCTGAACTTTGCATCCTAAAAGTTTCACAACATGGTTATTCATAATAATGAAAAAAAGAAAACGACATATTTCCCATAAGATTATAAATGAACAAATAAATCTTATTTAGGTTACGAAAACTAGAGAATGTCGACGTAGTCAATGGAAGTGGCATTCACTTTTTGCATATTTGAACCTTTCCTTCAAATAGGTATTCCCTCAAAAGCACGGGCTGATACTTTTTTCCATTTCAATCCATAACAACTTTGGATAGTTGCTTTTAATGCTGATACTACTAATCTGTTTCGTTCATCTGTTTTTACTTCTTTAATAATATTGAAGAAGTGTTTAAGGACAAAAGAGAAAATAACGTGTTTATCATCTTCAGTGAATTAGGTGATTGCAAGATACTAGTATAGAAAAGCTTAAATAAAGAAGCTGTTACGACAGCGGAAGTCACGTGACACTAGTAACACGTCATATTCTCGAAGGTTCGTGAATGCTCGAGTGTTTACTAGATATTCGGTATTCATGTATATAAGACCGGTAAGATGTGACGGCAACAATGTAATTGAACTGCAGACAGAGAGAGAGACTGACAATTGAGTCGAGCACGTGAGTCGTTCGTTGTGAATTATAGCGTTTCTTATAGCGTGACTGTGGAA